GTTTGATAGCAGTAAATGTTTTTACAATACTTTAAATTTAAAGGTGCTCCATAGCTAAATTTATTCAATCAAAAATATGGTAAAATCTCAAGAATGTTATTACACTTTATTGGTCAGTTTTAGCATTTTTTTTTTTTTTGCCAGCTAGCAAGTTTTGTGTTTAATAGACATCTAATTGATGTCTACACATAGAAATCTTCAACTCCTGGCTACAACCAGCACACTTATGTTCATGGATCCTGGATTTTCTCACCAATAGACCACAGAATGCTAGTATGAGCAAGCACACCTCATCCATTCTCACCCTGAATATTTGAGCACCACAGTGCTGTGTCCTCAGTCCAACCCTTTTCACTCTATTCATGCAAGACTGCAAAACTATCCACTCCTCCAATATCATAGTAAAATTTAATGCAACCCTGGCTCATTATGGATACGTACAGTACCCCTGTATACATTTCTGGACAGCGCGAAATACGTCCTAGGAGGTACGATTTTTTTTTCCTTTTCATGAATCCACCATATGTTTTTTGAGATCTGAAATTTCTCTCGCAAATGCCATTTGCACTTGCTCTTCTTGCGTAAATCCACCAGAGACCGCTGTTGACTCACTGACTGATTGACCGACCAGTAACCCCACCCACCCCCTTCCCTAAACCCAACCAATACTGTTTTCAAAAGCACTGATTGACCCGCCGACCCCTTTCTCTTAACCCAACCGACAGTGTTTTTCAAAGCAATTAAAAAAAAGAAAAGCCTTACTACATGACTACATTCTCACCCTGTTATTTACTTGTTTATTTTATTTTTTGCTATTTGTTGAACCGTTTTCCGCCAGACTCAAACCCCTTCATCGTCACATCAACTTGACATATGCAGCGAGCCACTGGGTGAACTAGTAACATCGGAAAAGCAGTTCACATAGAGGTCTTTTCAGATCGCGAAAAGGAACAGAAGCTCTCTGTGGCATCATACTGCCCCATTGCAGTAATTTTAAAGACAAAATGCAGCCATGCGTCCCTCTGGCTACAGAATTTGCGCTCTCCAGAAATGTATACAGGGGTACATATTCACAATGAGCCTGTGATGGAAGTTTGCAGCTGACACCACATTATTGACAAAATAATGAGATGCACCACAGGGAGGAGGTTCAACATCTGGTTGAGTGGGGTGTGGATAGTGATCTGGTTTTGGACACCACAAAGACAAAAGAAACCATTGTGGACTGTAGGAGAGTGAAGAAAACAACACCCCACCCCCCTTTGAGGTTGAGAGGGTTGCCAATGTCAAATTCCTAAGTCGGTACATCACAAAGAATTTTACATGAAGCATTAACACTTCCTACAAAAAAAACACAGCAGAGGCTTTCCTTCCTCAGAAAACTAAAAAAGGGCTATTTACTTTCTCTTTAGCGGAGTATGAGAGAGTATTCTCTTTGTCAAAGTGTGGTATACGAGATGCACTACAGATAATCTGAAAACTGGCTCGGATAGTCAAGACTTTACAGTAGATTGTAGGAACTAAACTGTCCAACATTAACAATACAAGCTATTTACAGTACACAAACGAGCAATCAACATTAACAAGGGCCCAACCCATCCAGGACACAAACTGTTTGTGCCCTTTCCATTGGGCAAAAGATACAGGTCAATCAGACATTATGATTATAACAAAGTCAGATGTTGCCTTCTCTTCATGCCGCTGTTAATGCACTAAACACTTTAAACCAGGACTGTGTTAAAATATTATACAGTTTAGTGCACTTATCTTTTTCTATAGCTTTTTGTTTGTTGTTTTGCGTATCTTTCCTGTTGTGGCGGGTTTCTGTGAGTTGCCAAACAGATCTCATTGTACTATTACTACAATGACAATAATGTTTATTTATCGTATTGTTAAGACGTCTAACAATACTCTAAAATCTATTTGATGACTATAGTGTCTTTTTGGACTATTGTTATATGTTAATTAGATTTTCTCTGACAGCCCAAATTTAGCCCATTAAACACAAAGAGCTCTGTTTTAATGATCCAGGTGCAAAGTCTAAAGCACATGGCACAAAAGCATTAAGGGCATGTCTGGTTTATACTGTGTCATATGGTCTAACAGGGTTGTGCGTATATTCTTTTAATGAGTTGTGGGTGTGTTTTGAGAATAATTTGCATTAAACCAATCAGTCTCATCTCCCATTTGCTTTAAGAGTCAGTTGCATCACGGCATGGCGTACTTGCTATTTACATGGCGGACTTTGTAAGAGAAAAACTGAATGCTTCATAATCGAGAAAACCGACCCAAACTCATTCTGAAAACGTAGCCCCGCGGGCGTTTCTGGAGATCGCAATTTACGTGGCTGGAGGTACGTATGGCTGCATTTTATTTTTTTCAAGTGAACGCTACGGATCGGTGTAGCGCCGCTCCTCTTCGCGCTCGCCGGCTGACGGCTCACCTCCGTGTGGAGGGCTTTCCCACCGGAAACAGTTTGTCCTGTTAGCTCGTCGCTCGGTTCCAGAAATCAGGTAAGACAAAAACAGAATCCAAAAAATAAAGTGAACAAGTTCATAACAGGGCGGGAATGTGGTGAAATCCGAAAACGTGGTTAAAATCAGATGAGGGCTTTTTTTCTGGATGGCTTTTGTAAATCATTGCTTGGGTTTAGGGAGGGAAACAAGCGGGCAGGCCGGCTGGCCAGCTGGCGGGTCAATCGGTAAAACCGATTGTGTTTAGGGAAGAAGGAGGAGGAGGGTGGGTCGGTCGATTGGCCTGTCGCCCAGTCAATCATTCAGTCAGTTGGGCAGACGGTCACTCAACAGCGGCCTCTGGCGGCTTTACGCAAGAACAACGCAGGCGCAAATGGCGCTCGCGACAGGCGTTCTAGATGCGAACAAGCGTGCACATAGACTGTTTCGCGGATTCGCGAAAACAAGAACTGCACTAATACGTACCTCCTGGGATGTATTTCGCAAGTCTCCAGAAATGTCCGCAGGGCTACGTTTCCAGAATGAGTCTGGGTTGGAGAAAACAGTTAAACAGAGCATCTGCAGCTTGAGAATAAGGAACGAGTCTCCTTCATTCGGCCTCTTTACTTTCGCTTTACTATTACTCTTTACTTTACTACCTTACTTTTGTTTATAAGGAAACTGTGTTGTATGCACTTCCTTGAAGACATCCATTAGCTTACATATTTAACTTTATTTGTTAAGGGCAGCTATTTGTTTTAAAACTATTTCTAAATTCAGTTCTAATTTCCAGAAAATTAATGAATAAACAATAATAACGAAGTGTGCTCAAAAAACTGGAATTATTTTCAAACACACGTCCTATTTTTATGCCCATATGGTGATGCAGACGTCTCTAAAACTTGACAGATGGACAAATCTAAACTTGTTTTTACTAAAACAAATATAAACATGCAAATAATAAATAATACTACTAACAATAATAATATAAAAATGCAAATTTTCATGAATAACCTTAAAAATAGCCCCACAGGATGAAGGCAAAGGTTTTTATATTTATGCAGAAAATAATAATTTTTGTAATATTTTAATCCTTTTTTTTTTCATCTGTAAAGGTATTTGTGTATTGCTGTACATCCTGTGTGTATTAAGCAAAGTGTAAGCGTTTAGACCTGCATGGGTGCATAACTTACGCGCTCTGCACTGGACTTTAGACCAGCTTTTACTTGTGCTTATAGCACAGCCTATTTTAGTTTCTCAAGATTGCAACATGCTAACAATGAGCCTTAACACACCTCCTTTCTAGACCGGCACACCCATATGATGGTGCAAATGGATTTGCTGTTTAAACAACGTGGTGCAAAATGTGAAAATTAGGGTTCCGCTGGTCTGATATTAGTAACAAATGACAACAAACACGTCTTACGCCTTACTGTGCCCAGTGTATAATAGGGCCCAACATTGCTTGGTGGGTTTAGTGTAGTCTTCAGTGTCACATGATTCTTCAGAAATTGCTCTAATGTGCTGCTCAAGAAACATTTTTATTGAAAACAGCTGTAATGCTTTATATTTGACTGGAGATCTTGATACTCTTGATAAATAGTAATGTCAACAGAAATAAATGACAAAAACATTTCATGTAGGCAATAGTTTAATAATGTCTTGAAGGTCATATTGCTACTTCTACTGGACTATTATAGATCAAATGGTACTCTAAATTTCTTGGTTTATTTTTTCATATTTATTTATATTAGCCTTTCTAGCATTTTTCAAATTTCTAAATCATAGAAATCAAATTTTACTCAAAATTTGCAGATAAAAAAACCTTATATGCATCGTCTGCAAGGTACAGTTGAAGTCAGAATTATTAGCCCCCTGAATTATTCTCCCCCCTGTTTAATTTTAATTTCTAATAGCTGATTTCTTTTATCTTTGCCATGATGACAGTAAATAATATCTGACTAGATATTTTTCAAGGCACTTCTATACAGCTTAAAGTGACATTTAAAGGCTTAACTAGGTTAATTAGAATAACTAGGCAGGTAAGGGTAATTAGGTAAGTTATTGTATAACGATGATTTGTTCTGTAGACTATCAGAAAAAAATAGCTTAAAGGGGCTAATATTTTTGACCCTGACATGGTTTTTAAAAAATTAAAAACTGCTTTTATTTTAGCCGAAATAAAACAAATAAGACTTTCTCTGGAAGAAAAAAATATTATCAGACATACTGTAAAAATTTAAAAAAGAAAAATAAATGAAAAGAGGGGCTAATAATTCTGACCTTAACTGTAATTCCTGCAAAATACAGTAGTTGAATCAACTTTATTAATATTTAACACATTACACAGACCTTATATACAAACCAGCCCAGACTCATTGGAAATATGTGCCCTGGGCTACATATTTGAAAACAAAGAAATATGTACCCTGGGCTACGTCTGCTTTCAGTTTTTATTTTCACCCATCCACTAGAATATGCCATGTATATTTTTTACAAACTCAAATTTGTTACTCATGCATGCTTTCTCATATGTGCCGTTTCTCGTTTTTTTTTTTGTCAATATCAATATCCTTTTTGTGCACATTCATGAGAGAATCTGGTCATGAATAATATATCAGCTTGATATCAACTGACCCACACAGAAAACCCTAAATCCCTAAACCCAACCGGTAGTGTTTTCAAAAGCAAACTAAAATGCTTATACCATGATTCCATAATGCTATTTACTTAATATTTGTTTTACCTGGTTTCTTTCCAGAGACCCAGGTCCGTCCCATTACTACACTGTAAAACCCAAAAAGTTAAGGTAACTCAAACCGTTTGAGGAAACCGATTGCAACAAACTATTTAAGTTCAAAATTTAATCCTAATGAGTACTGTGAACTTAATCCATTTGCATAAATGAAGCAATTTGAGCTTAATAAAACCCAATAAATGAAGAAAACTCAAACCAACTGAGAACTGTAAAACTCAATAAGTTAGGCAACTCAAACCGTTTGAGGAAACTGATTGCTACAAACCATTTGAGTTAAACTAATCTATATGAGTACTGTGAACTTACTCCATTTAAGTTAAAGTAATGAGGTATTTAATTAACTGCTTAACTTCAACACTGAGTTCAAAACTCTTTTAAAATGAATATAATTAACTTTAAGTAAATTCTGAGTTAACTACACCCATTTCATTTGATAAAGTTGATTGTTGGGTTTTACAGTGTACCGTGGTACCAGTCACACCAGCCATTCCTTTTACACACAAAATGCAGTCATATATGTACCCCCAGGCACATATTTCCCGTTTCTCAAAAATGTAGCCCTGGGCACATATTGCCAATAAGCCTGTGTTGATACAAACACTTATTCTTGACAGGCATAAGTTACACATGAACACATAATTTAGATGTTATTAACATTGAAAGAACAACAACCAGGTTAACATGCAAAGCTAAGCAAATGATCAGTTCTCAAGTCTATTATTTTAATCATGTGGAAAGCCAACATATGTTAATTATGTGCTTGTTTCATAACAGAGAATCTGTAAAATGCAATACACAGGCATTAGATAACAATCACATCATTTCCATACATTTGAATATAGATGGACTCTGAAACATACAGTATTAACTTACAGAGAGCTTCTAAAATGTAAACGATTTGACAAACACACAAACTTTAAATGTTAAAAAGCATCTTAAATTGCATAATACTTTATCTGTTAAAAATTTTCTCATGAATCTCCAGAAAATGTAGGGTTTTGAACAGTGGTTGTGGCATTCTGGAATAATGGGTTGGTACCCTGTTTGCAAAGAGGAAAACATCATCTGCTTAATTAAATGCCATGCATGAGTTTGACAGAATAGCTTTTATATATGAGGAAATGGAACTTACAGAAGTCTTTTCGTGTTTTCTGTCTTTTTCAAATCTCCTCCATTCTCTAAGGTCGCTTGCATACAAAACACCCTTGATGATGAGGAGCATCAGGAGACCAATCAATGCCACTCCAGCCAGAGATCCTCCTACAATTGCTATAATGTTTGGCCCCTCGGGACATTCTGTAACGAGAAATGTACAGGTAGAAAGTTTTTCGTTTACAGTTTCAAACATGATACAAATTAGAAAGCAATATTTAACCAAAATTAATGATCACAGTAATAATTTTGTAAGTATTTACTCAACCTCAAGTTGTTGCAAACAGTTGTCATTTATGCTTTACAGGGGTGGTCCACTATGATATCATATTTTAAACTTTAGTTGATGTGTAATGTAGCTGCGTGAACATAAACAACATCTCTGAATGTAAGACGCTCAAAGTTCAATGCAAAGGGAGACATTGGCTTTTACAGAGTTAACTTAGCAAAGCCTACAGTGAAAAAAGTTTGGGGAATACAAAAAATACATCCGGGCTATTGAGATTACAAATGCTTCAGATTACGCACATTCACCATGTGTATACAACCTGAGCAGCAAAGGGGCGTGGCCAGAGGTGCTGTAATGTAGCAGAGAAAGCTAAAATGCCGTCCATACGCTGCTGTTTCCACAGAGCTTCTTCTGTTTCTTTATTTGGACTTCCAAAGGACACGACACAAAAAGAGAAGTGCTTACAGTTTCATTTTTATTATGTTCTAAAGAATTATAAAAAATATATATAGGTAGCATTTGACAAAGGATAGCTTCCAGAATATCTCTTAGTTCAGTGCTGGATTCGGCTAAAACTCCTCAATGAAGGAACAGCTTTAACCATAATAGACGAAGGTGTGGATTGTGAGCCACAATCTGTAAGTATTTTTATTTGTTAAAATTGATCTGTTACATGCATACTTTATATTGTTAAAGGTATGTTGTAGCAATGACAAAACCAAGGATGTAAACAACAGGAAATGCTGTTTGGTAGTGTTAACAATTTAGCTACAAATTTATATTTATCTGCCAAACCCCAGTAAACACCCATAATCTTTGTCTTTCTCATTGTCTCTATGCGGCCACTTTCCGTGCATTCTACATCTCAAATAACCAACTTGCAAAAGATATGTGAATGCTTCATATTACTTACACATGCTTATATTCCAAATATATATAAAAAACACTTGTCACAATTTATTTTTAAGAGAGCCGGCGTGTGGTTCAGCTGTGTTCTCTGTGTCATTTTCTGTCAGATTTAGGTGCAAACTGATATGACTAACAGCTACTCTGACTGACAGTATCCATAAATCACAGCACATTATGTTAACTGACCAATCAGAGCCTCTTGAGGGCGAGCTTTCAGAGGAACTAGGAAATATGACAGTCATTTTCATGTTAGCTGAGTAGCTGAATATAATAAAAGTAATATATACGAAAAAACTTGATTTTCCACAAATGAAACATGACCACACCCTTGTATCTTACAAACGCAACCTAACCTTAAAAATACACTGTGGACCACCCCTTTAAAGCTCCAAAAATTGCAGCTTTTATAATTTTGTCACTATAAATGGTATTGTTGTATAAAAACTCACAATTTACTATAAGGTTTCATTAGCTAATATTGGTTAATGTATTTACTAACATAAACTTAATATGATCAATAGTTATACAGCATATAATTAATCATACTTTAACATATGCTAATGCCTTTAAATTAAAATTCATGCTTGTTAATATTAGTTAATGCACTGTGAGTTAACATGAACAATGAACAACTGCATTTTCATTAACATTAACAAACATAAACATATACTGTAATAAATGTATTGTTCATTGTTCATGTTAGTAAATGCATTAATAATATTAACTAATACAACCTTAATGTAGTGTAAAGTGTTCCAAAAAAATCAATATAAGCAAATAGAGATTCTTCAAAATTTATGTTTCAGCAGTGTTCGGAATCACTGGATGATTGTTAAGAGAGAGAACCCAAGTAACTTGTACATGTTGTAAAATTGCAGATATTGTATACTGTACCTCTGTCTTTAAGGACACTGACAGAGTAGAGGTCAAATCCAAGTTCTTCTGTCATTGTAAAAGCCATCCAGCAGCCCTCTTTATCTTTGACTCTGCAATCACTCTTTACCAGTTTATCGACAATCTTAATCGTCAGATGCTTACAGGCTAAACTACAGTTCTTTTCAAACGGTCCACTTTGAAAGGCAAAACATTCAACACAGCTCCTGTTTAAAAACATATCAAATTTAGAGCATAAAATGTAATATTTAATTTATGTATTGTATTTAGATTTCTTTTGTATATACAGTACAATAAAGGTCAAAATGAGAGAATAATCCATGAACATCAGAAATAATCTTCAAAAAAAAAAATGTTTATTGAAACTACTCCTTGCTAGAGGAACAAAGTTTTTCAAAACAACCAAGGCACTTTAATTAATTAGCATAATTCTAAAAATCAAGTCATCTTAACTGTTCCAAGTTACAATGGGTTTACTTACATTATTTTTGTAAAGTCAGCTTGTTTCTTTTAAGGCAATTGGTTTACTCGCTAATCACTTTTTTACAGTGCAACTCATAAAGACTCTTAAAAAGTCTTTTACTCCTGTTAAAATACTACAAATAGTTCTACAGTGACTATAAAATTTACAAAATTGTACATTATTGTCTAATTTTTATCTCCTATGTACATTTACACATCATTTAAACTCTGCGATAGATAACATACACTTAAACAATGATGTTTGCTGTTTGTTCAAACTACTTATTTAAAATAAGCTGAAAACAAAACAATTCTTGAGATTTTGGGGGGAACAACTTAATTGTTTTATGTTCGATCCACTTAATTTTGTAAAAACTATTAAGTTAACTTAATTTCGTCATGTGGTCCCAACACAGATACATTTTTTTATAGTGTACAGAACATACAGTATAATTAGTAACACTAAAGTATATTTTTATTTAAGATGTGACACGCCTGGAAATCATTTATATATTTATGACTAGCTAACAGATTGAGATTAATTAGTAATAATCCCCTCACAGCTATTATGCATTGATGGAAAATATGTGTATTTTGCTTGATGAATAATTTATTTTGGATGGCAGCTTTGAAGGTTTTCTTACCCGGACTGTTGACACGGACGTTGACATGTAGGACAGGTTTTGCAGTAGGGTCCCTTGTATCCCCTTTCACATTCGCACTGGTTACATACACATTTACCGCGGTTATAACAAACATGGCTGTCAATCTTGCATTCATTGTCGGATTTAGCGCAGTGACAAGCTGTTCCCTCATAGCCGTCATCACACTCACATTTGCCACATTTGCACTTGCCATGACCTGTAAAAAAATACTCACTTTACACATACAGTTGAAGTCAGAATTATTAGCCCTCCTGAATTATTACAAATATTTTTCAACACATTTTTAAACATAATAGTTTTAATTACTCATTTCTAATGACTGATTATTTTTATCTTTGCCTTGATGACAGTAAATAGTATTTTATTAGATATTTATTAATATACTAGAGGCAATTAGGCAAGTCATGTATATCTAAAATGATGGTTTAATAATATATAGCTAATAATTTTGAGCTTAAAATGATTAAAAAAAATTTTTAAACTGCTTTTATTCTAGCTAAACAAATACAAAGACTTTCTCCAAAAGAAAAAATATTATAGGAAATACTGTGAAAAATTCCTTGCTCTGTTAAACATCATTTGAGAAATATTTGAAAAAGAAATGTACATTTAAATGTATTTTAAAGAATATCTTATTAGACAAAAAATGTATTAAAAATTCACCTGCACACTGTTTATTGTCAAACTTTTCACAGTGTTCATCGTCGCATTCACAGTGTTCGCCATAGAAATGTCCGTTACCCTCTGTTAAATGGCACTGACACCGTCCACACACACAGTCTCCTTTGCCTTCACATTCAGTGCCATTGTCTTTCCGGCACTGGGCTTTAAATGAGGCCTCATCTTTTTTACCTATTGTGCACTCACAGAGCTGTCCTATGAAGCCATCATTACACCTGTGGACACAGTAAGGTTACTTAATTTCATTTATTTTCAATTTTTTTTTTTTGCAATTTTTAATTCATTCATAAATTTTCCCACATCTTAGTCTCTATTTCAGAGGTTGCCAGCGGGGAATGAACCACCAAACTATTCCAGCATATGTTATACTCTCAGATGCCCTATTATTTTGGGGAAACACCCACACTTACTACACACACACTCATACACTACGGCCAATTTAGTTTATTCAGTTCACTTAAAGAGCATATCTTTGGACTATGGGGGAAATCTGAGCACCCCCACTCATGCAGACACGGAGAGAACATACAAACTCCACAAAGAAATGCCAACGGACCAGTCGGGACTCAAACCAGCAGCCTTCTTGCTGTTCAATATAATTATTAATTTATTATTATAGCTTATTATTATTATTATGCATATGACCCAGACAGATTCACCCAGGGCCTTAGGAGAAAATATCTGAAAAATGTGATAAAAAATTTGATAAAATTATGAATTTCTCTTACTTGCAGCTGCCGCAGACAACTTTACCCTGTCCTTTACAGTGAGGATGAACTCCAGGGGGATCACCACAATTACATTCGCAGAGAGTCTGAACGTTCACCTTCAGCTTTTCATTGAAGCCCAATGGCCCGATGGAGAAGCTCTGATCATTGATGCATCTATCCACTGTCACCGTCACATCAAAAATCACCTGAAAGTATTAATGTAAGATTACCTTTGTCAGCATTTGTTTCAATCTGCTAAAATGATAAACCAAGTTTGCATCGCAGCATTTGCATAAATTGTGTTTCTATCTCAGTTTGCATTCTGGCATCTAATCTTACTCACCTCTAGTCCAATGTTCACATTATCACACTTCCCATTGTCACTGAAGGTTTTTCCACCGGTACATTTTGATGAATATTTCACAGATATAAAGTTCGGGAGGGCATCATGGGCCATGATCACTTCAGAGGTTAAGTTCTGTTCAAACCCCAAAAGAACATTAAAACAAATCATTGTGTTTCAGCCCTTTACTATTAAAGAAATACTCCACTTTTTTAAAAAAATAAGCTCATTTTACATTCTCCCCTAGAGTTTTACCATTAGTTTCACCATTTTTGAACCCATTCAGCCAATCCTTGGGTCTTGCAAGAGTAATTTTATCTTAGCTTAGCATTGATCAATCGGATTAGATCATTAGCATCTCGCTTTAAAAATGAGCTAATAGTTTTGATCATTTTAAAATTTAAAGACTCTTGACTCTTCTGTACTGTACCTATATAGTGTACTAAGACTAGTAGTGTTACGCAAGGAGTGACACAAACAACTGAGTTTGGATCCGAATGCAGGTTTAATCAGTGGTCAGGCAAGCAAAGGTCAATACAGGTGGAAACAGATATATGCAGACAGTCCAGAATCGTAGTCGAAGTAACAGGCAAGAGGTCCGAAGGCAGGCATCTAAACAGGAGAACTGGATAAACAAGGCTAAGATAGGTACAGGGGAAAACAGGGCTAGGAAAAAGCGTTGTAATGTCACTGTGGCAGATAACAAGACTCTGCAAACTAAATGAGTGAGTGTGTAGCTTAAATAGTGTGTGCAATCAGTCTCTGACAATCCTCAGGTGGTGTGAGTGTAATCAGTCTAGATGAGGAAGCATGTGTGTCTGGGCGAAGTGCATGTATGAATATGTAGTCCAGAAATGGCGGAATTGTAGTCCATAGGTTATGGTGAGTGAGATCCAGCGATCTATGGAGTTATGATTGCTGGTGATTGTGACAGGCAGAAAATGAAAGTTAAAATTTTCTAGGCCAATAAGGCTATAGGAACTAATTTAATTCCAGTGTAATGTTCAAGGAATTTTACTGCTGTACTATCGCTGCCGCAATGATATTATGCAGTGCCTGTTCTGAATCTTTAGATAATCTTTAGATACATCAATGTATTCACGGTTGAAAGATTTTTAGGTGCTGCACAATATCATTGTGCATGCTGCAGCTATGTTACAGCAGCAAAATTCCTTGATTGCCAAAATGAGAGTATAGTTGCTAGCTATATTGGCCTGGAAAATAGCAGGTTTTCATTTATCATCTGTCTTAGTACACAATGTAACTGTAGAGGAGTCAAGCTTTAAATAGGAAAATTATCCAAACGTTTGGTAGATTTTGAACGAGATGCTAATGGTTTTATCTATGCTAAGCTAAGCTTAGTGGTGGATTAATGGTGGTGGATAAGGTGATCCACCAATGTGTAAATGTGCTTTGAGTGTCCAGAAAAGCGCTATATAAATGTAAGGAATTATTATTATATTAATTAAGCTGAAAGTGCTCTGACCAGACCCAGAAATTGTCTGAACTTAACTGTTTTACTCTAAAGGAGTGTTGTAAAATGAGCCTATTTTCTAAAATAGTGGAGTGTTCCTTTAAAAGGCAAGTTAGAAATCACATGCACTTACATTGTATGCTTCCACAATTAGGTTGACAACATTGTTGGAGTCTTCAGAAAGGACTCCGACTGCAGATTTGGGGATTAGTTTGCTCAGCTCCTGTTAAAGACCAAATCAAGTACACTATTGATTTACTATGAAGAACGGTATACATAATTACTTGAATGCTTTACTTACTGTGTAAACAGTTTCCATTTTTTTTGTCACTGCAAAAATTGGTTGTATGTTTTGCTCCTCCAGTTTGCGAGCAACCTGTCCAACAGATGGGTAGTCCTGAAAACATAAATCATATATATTAGGTTATATTCAAAACAATATCGAGACATTGATGAAATCCAAAAACATGAACTACAGAGATGTACAAATGTTTACAATGTACCAAAATAAAATTTATATCCAAATGAATTATTTCAAATTAAAACAAAAATATCAATAAAAAGTACCAAATTTCTCTATTATTTTACAAATTATTAGGATATATTTTCTGTTTAGTACTTACAAAGTAAGATCTTATTCTGCATCCTTAATTCTAACCAATACTTAAGCCCAACTACTACCTTAATGAGTATTAAAAAGTTAAAAAAGAAAAAGAAAATTAATGAAAAAAAAAATGTAAACAAATTTAAAAAAGTCATAATTATTTTTTTATTAAAAGCGATAATTGTATTTAAAATAAAGTATGACCAAATAATAAAATACTTTTTAAAATCTATGTATTTTTATATTCAGAATTTTAGGCCCATGTCTATGTCACATAATTGCAATGATAACTGTCTTGGATTCTGCTTTTCAAATAACATGACTATTCAAGTGTCATAAATCATACCCATATGTTGCTCTTGCTGTACTTGTTTTTGTCCAGCTGACAGGTTTCTTTGTTTGGTTCCAGAATGGCAGCGAGTTTTCCATCTCCTGCCATGTGGAAGCCGTCATCAGTGGCCAACACCAGCAGCCGGGTGCTGTTTCCCCAACCAATCTCTTTCTGTTCATAAGAAACACAATTTGCTTTGTATTTAACTAAAGGCATCACACACAGGATGCGGCGCTCAGTGCGGTGACACAGCATGACAGTTGAAAGTTTCGCACACCAGACATGCACATTCGCATGCTATTTAAAATGAAAATAATGGTGCTCTGTGGCGCAAGAGAAATATAAACCATTTCCTGAGTCGTGGCTGGGCGCCGCCAACTTGCGGCGCTGGTGTGTGTACCCTGATAGAAACCTATGTTTAGAATTCTAAAATGCATGGCGCTGCGTGGTGCAACGCGGCGCGTCGCAGATTGGCGCTTCTGGTGTGTAACCGCTTTTAAATTATAAAGAACAGCAAGCATGAAAAAAGCTTAATATGCAGTGGGGGAAATAAGTATTGTTTAAGTATTTGTCTATCAAATCTGATCTTTATTTTATATTCTCTATTGAATTCAAGTCAGGTGATTAGCTAGGCCATTCTACAGATTGGGTTTCTTTCTCTAAGATTCATTTCATTTGAGAGTTACCTTGGCTGTGTTTTGGATCATTAGCCCCTTTCACACAGTGATACTGGTAAATATCCGGAAAATTTCCGGAACGACTTTACCGGTAAATTTAAAAAAGCGCTGTTCACACAGGCGAGGACGTTACGGAATTTTTCCGGAAAGAGCATTCACAAATCCATCGCAAAATGCCGGTAAATTCTGACATCATTAACCAGAAATGACCTCTAAACGGCTGCACTTGTGTTTGTAAACATTTGACTACATCACAAACTCTTTGGATGGATCAGTATTGAGTACAACTCCAATGAAAACATATAGAGGATCACTTTCACATGTCGAGATGTTCATGATATGTGTGTGTGCAGGCGCTATGAGCGCTCACGGGCACACGCAAAGCTTGAAGGTAAACAAACAACGGATTATCATAAACATTTTATTGATAATTATTTACACAGTTAGCATTAAGAAGGAACATAGAAACGTTATCTGACTAACATCTAGCAACTACAGATGTCTGGAAAAATATTCAAAGGCTTTTATTCTCATAAACCGCGCGCACGTAATTGCATCTGACTGTTCTGATTGACTAAAGCAGGTGTCTCACATCAGCACGTTCTAGACATGGACACGCTCTTTCCGGCAATCTTCCTTCTGCATTCACACAGCGCAGCATTCCGGCAAATTACCGGTAATGTTACAACTTCTCTTTCCGGAAAATAGCCAGAACGAATTTACCGGTATTTTCAAAAAGGGCCTGTTCACACATACAACCTTTCCGGAAAATTGCCGGTAATTTTCCGGAAAGGTCTGTATGTGTGAAAGGGGCTTATGTAGATAATATTAATTTATACTGAAAACGGCAAAGGGTTGCTCAATAACAACTGAGAGATTTCAGCTGCTGTCTAGGCTTTCACTGCCTTTCTGTACATCCCTTTCTTCATGTGTTCAATACTTCTTCCCTGTGTCATTTCATTTTATTACACATAACTTAATTTGTTAACTAATTACAAGCCCGTCTCCCACCCAATCAGAAGCTTGGCCCACCCAGGCCCTACATCAGATAATAAATTTTTTTTTCGATGCGTTTCATAACTAAGAAAGCAGCATAAGATGTGACTGTGAGCTTAAAAAAAACATGTTTTGTCAAGCCAAACTTATTTAAAATCTTAAAGTATTCTGTTTTAATAGTTTTAAATCATTCAGGCTGCAAAAGATGAAAGAGAAACTAATTCAGCAAAGAGTGCAGGTTTCTATACGCATCACCAAACACTTTTCCCTTTAATATCATTTAATTCAGTCGTAGCCTAATTCATACAATAAAGTCTTAATGAATACAAACAGTTCAGCAGCACTGAGTGGGATAATCGGGAGATGTATTGGGTTCGCTTAAACATTATAGCATTTTTCTCATGGAAAGAGCGAATATTAAGTTCACTATCTGTGAATGATGCACAGAAACAGACAAATCACAGGCAGTTTCACTAGTGAAGTTCGTGCAAAGTGCAACATACAAAATTCAAACACGAGTGCAAAGCACTTTGTTGCACTTTGTGTCAAAAATATTAATATTTTAATACATATCCACAAATAATCTTGTTTTCGCTTTGCTCTCTTTAAATGCGCTCTATTCTCTTGAGGCGCGCTGCTGCATGTCCCTCATCTGTATAAACAATATCGAGATTAATTTAATACGAAAGCCATGTAATGTGCTGTGGATTGACATGTTGTCCTTTATCCTTTTGAATCTCTCAAATAATCATGTGATCTCCTCTGTTATTGGACTTTTTAAACTAATAAGGGAAAACGTCAAAAACATACACAAGATATTTTAAACTGTTATTGTTCACTGTTGTTCTTAGCAATAGTGCAATACAATATTCAAAATTCAGAATTCAATATTGAATGTAATAAATATTTAGAATTCAAGATGTTTCAGGCAGCAGGTCGACGCACAGACACAAAGCGCTATGATAAAGCACGTGAAACGTTATGTGTGTGTCGATTAAAACATGTAATATGCTAAATAAATGCTAAAAAAATGTCTTTGACATGCTATAAATGGTCATGTATTAGCTATCTAGCACTAACAAGTAGGCTAATATGCAAAGATCTGCTATTAAAAAATTTGTTTATGTTAGTTAAAAAACACCAATGTTGGCTCTGGTGCATTCAATAATAATTAATAATAATATTAAGATTTTTTTAAATCACAAAATATAGGAAATATTATCAAATGTTGATATTTTTTAAAGGTATCATCTTAAATTTGTAAATTCCAGCATAGTGACAACACTACAGTTATTGTAAAGATTATTATATGCATTAAAAGCAAAATGGGTGATGCTATTGCATGTATATTTTACATTTAAAAAAGTTAATGAATAAACTCTTAAAAAACAGCAAATATTTCCAGTAACTTATAGAAAGCATATTTAATTTTTATAATTCTTTTGTCAACCATAAATGATTAAATGTTTACATTTTAGGGAATAAAACCTTTTTTATATATTGTTTGTTAACTCTTTTAAGGATTAATTTAGTAACATGTAGAAATAACAATTAATCATAGCAAGAAAAATCCTAATGGGTAGTTACTAAATTGGAACTGAATTGACAGTAACAAAGCTAATATCACAGGACACTAATGAAGTCAGTATTAAAATATTTTTAAATTGTCCAGTATGTGATTAATGAAATATTCTGTTTTCCTTTTGTAATTGTGGTAATAGTATTGACAGTTTACAGTTTAAACATTTAACATTAAAATATTGTGAATTCTTCTTAAAGGAAAGCAAATTAAAATATTTTTGATTGCACAATGATACATGATGAAAGAATACACTGACTAATTCGGACATCAAGAAATCATGATTTTTTTGTAATATAATCTTTGAAAATGATGAACATATTTTATAAATAATCAGAAAATGTAGCATGTAACAATTTTAAAGCTGAAAAAAGGATGGCTTTGGTCACTAAATGTACCTGCAACTATAGAATCACCCATAAAGTTCATAGAGAGCAACATGTTTTTCTGGAATTTTCTTGCAAAACTTGGCAAACATCACTTAAGCAAGCAATTAGCTTTAATTAAAATGACAGAGAACATTTAAAAAAAGATAAATATATATATTTTTTAAATGCTATACATTTTTTTATTACCTTTAAAATAATTGTTGTCTTTAAATTAAATGTTTTTTTTTTTTTTTTTTTTTGGCCCACCCGAAATGTCACTTAGCCCACCCTAAAGCTCCAAGCTGGAGCTGGGCCTGACTGATTAGTTTTGTTTTCTTTGCATTAATGGATTTCTATGGCAGTTACAAACATCCAGTGAAAATTTCAAGTCAACAGCACCTTTAAAAATGTTTTCTGAGAAAAATGGTGACATTTTCAATACTTACTTCCCCCACTGTAAACTATTGTTTCTTTGCATTGTGTACAACGAAGCACAAAAACATTGTTTACATGATTTATAAACAACTCTTAAGCACATAATATGGATAATGTAACCTGTTAAAATGTCTGTCAAAAATGTGTCTCACCAGGCAGACGGCAGCTTGCATGATGGCATCCAGGCTTCCCTCTGGAGGGTCCAGGTTTCCAGATATATGCTGCTGCTTTACCAATTCTTTGAAGTCGTTCCCATTTGCTGTGAGTGGAAGCACGTGCTGAAAGCCAAATGCTGGCTGACATGGTTCATTTTTATCCGAGCAGGGGTGTTTAAGTTTGGCTTCATTGGTGTCGGTGTATGGAAGAAGTGTTTTGTCAACAAACGAACCGAATCCTGTATTAGGAAAGGTTGGTTAATGAAGCCATTGCAACTTTTCAAAGTGCAACTCCAAAATGTGCAATATAATATATTGGGAGCACTTTACTTAAAGGGGGTGTTCATAAGACTGTCATGAAACCTTTATATCACATCATGAATATGAAGGACATTCCATGCATGCTTATGACAGCTGTCATTAGGTGTCGTTTGCTTAGTTATGTCATTTTAAATGTAAAGGTAAGAATCAAATGTTCTTGTTATGACAACTTGACATAACCAAACACATCACAACCTGTCTTTGTCATGACAACTTGACATTACCAAGACAACAAAACTTGTCGTAAATCTGTCATACTGTAATTTAAATTGTCATGAGGCCATTAGAATTGTCATTAATTTTGAAACTGCAATTAACTACAGTGGTACAAATTGAATTTGTCATTCAAATGTAATTAAATGTCATTAGATATTAATAACAATGTTATAAAATTATTTGACAGAGTATTGACACTTTTAATTTTGAATGTAATGGCAAGCAAAAAAAATCCACTGAAATATTTCAACAGAAAAATATTAATGACAATTATAATGGCCGTATGACAAGACTAATATATGACAAGTTATGTTGACTTGGTAATGCAAGTTGTCATGACAAAGACACTGATAGATTGTTGTCTTGGAAATGTCAGTTATAATGTATTTGTTTATCAAATTGTCATAACAAACACATCTCAAACATTGTCATCTTTTTTAAGTAAAGTGTTACCAATATATGCATATGCTCTTACCTATTCTGGCATTGCCAGTGATTCTATTGAGCTTTTCAAGTATATCATTTCCCAGGTTTTTTACATTCGCCAAATCGTCTTTCATAGAGTATGACAGATCCATCAGGTAGTAAAGATCTACAGGATAACCTTCTGCCCTTTTAAAACGTAGTTGAAAAGTTTGGGGCATCCCTGAGAGAAAAAAAAGCAGTCATTACCATGTCCAAACATACAGTATATTGTAAAGGCCACTGGTTTGTTTGAGATATTGTTGATTTATATGGATATAAAATACCTGGTCTAAGATTGAGTTGTATTTCTTGGGGTTGGATTTGCACTGGGTCTTTACCAGCAACCAGAGCTTTGTTCACAACATTTTGAAAAATGTTTTGAGGATTTATGATGTTCTCTTTGCTACATCCTCTGTCTAAAAGCAACTTGACAGTGTCACAACGTGCTGCTTCCTGCTCTCCAGTCTTGGTGAAATTCTGTGGTTTGAAAAACGCAGAAAGTAGAAGGGAGTGACATGCCAGCCAGTCATTATATTTTCAGCTCATTTAAATGCAGCTACTGTTTTTACATTACTGTGATAGTTGGGTTTAGGGTTGGGGTGGGGGTAAAGGTTAATAAAATACAATAAATGGGAAATTTAATAAAAAATATATATAATTGTTAAATTTTCAGCAACCATATCCGATCTAGCAACAACCTATAAAACAATTAAGTTGTCCCAAATAATATCAAGAGTTGTTGTTTCAGCTCATTCTAAATACACTCACCGGCCACTTTATTAGGGACACCTGTCCTACTGCTCATTAATACAAATTTCTTATCAGAATTGGGCGTCAACAACATGAAAGCATGGATCCATCCTGCCTTCTATCACCGGATCAGGCTGGTTATGGCTGTGTAATGATGTGGGGGATTTTCTTAGCACACATTGGGCCCATTAGTACCATTTGAGCATTGTGTCACTGTATTGTTGTTGACCATGTCCATCCCTTTATGACCACAGTGTACCCATCATCTGATGACTACTCCCAGCAAGATAACGTGCCATGTCATAAAGTATGAATCATCTCAGACTGTTTTTTTGAACATAACAATGAGTTCACTTTACTCAAATGGTCTCCACAGTCACCAGATCCTCAATCCAATAGAGCACCTTTGGGTTGTGGTGGAATGGGATTCGCATCATGCATGTGCAGCCAATAAATCAGAAGCAACTGCATGAGGATTAAGACAGTTCTGAAGGCAAAAGGGGGTCCAACTAGGTACTAGGTGAATGCAATAACAAACTGCCCACTTTATGTATCATCTTAATGCATTATATTTGGACAGTAAGCTGTAAAGTGGCTAGACATCATGCTATATAATAAATCAGCATTAAATATATTCATAAATTTAAACTGTCATTAAACAGTCAGTCATTTTATGAGGGCAGATTCACCAATGAAAATGCATTTCAGCAGTATTAAAAATAGAACCATTAACTGTACTTACCAACTCTTTACACCATGCACAGCCAGGTCCAGACTTGATGCAGTCTCCACATGTGTTTACTGAAGCTTTTAAGCATTGCTCCTGTGTGTAGACTTCAAGAATAGTTCGAACGTTAATTACACTTTGAAACAGCCTGCTTTATTTGCATGATTTAGCATCTAGATATTTGCTTTGTTTTCATTAGTGTAGTTAAAAGACACACATAAATTTGATTTTGTTCCAAAACCTAGTGTGCCATCTACATGGCTTTTTATTGCAATTTATTGAAAGACTTTTCCAAATATTAGGCAATATGTATGTATCTAGTTTTGTAAAATACCATTTTCACATCCTAAAGAAAATATTAGTAAGTATAGAGTATGCTACCATTCAAAAATTTGGGGTTTTAAAAATGCTTTAAAAAATGTTGTGTTCAACAAGGCTGGGCATATAATATTTGATCACAGTTAACTAAAAATATAAATATTGGGAAATAATATTTTTTAAAATACACTTTTCTTTCTGAAATTATTTTAGTATGTAGTTTTATTTTTGTATTTATTCATGTGATGGCATAGGTGAAATTTCAGCATTATTATAGTCTTCAAAGTCACACAATCCTCCAGAAATATATATATATATATATATATATATATATATATATATATATATATATATATATATATATATATATATATATATGGTGATTAATTTAATACTTAGTTAATAGATTTTGGCATATATTAATATATATTAAAATGCCTTATTTTCAAATATTTCTATCTCTACTAAATATTGTCCTATCCTAATAAATCAAACATGAATAGTTTATTCAGTTATTTAGCTGTCAAATGATCTTTAAATCTTAATTTAAAACAAAAGACCCTTATGACTGGTTTTGTGGTCTGAGGTTACATATGCTGATTTGCTGATCAAGAAGCATTTCATATTATTGTCATTCTCAAACCTTTGATCCCAAACAGCAGAAAGCAATTGAAGACTAGCAGATGGAATCTGGGCACCTCACTAGATTTTTGAACACAGCCAACACATCTTCAAGCATCTTGATTGTTTTATGTCCATGCACTTTTTTTTGTTAACTTAACATTAAGTTAACCTAACAGATTTGTATTGAGACAAGATGAAGGAATTGTGTTAAACCCAGGATTTTTTGTAGTGTATGCTTAAGACTTTTGCTGTTTGTTTAAACTACTTATTTAAAATGAGTTAAACCAACTTAATTCATAGGTTTTTTGGGGGGATATCTTTTTTTTCATGCACTTTTATTTGTATAAAAAAAACATTAAGTTAACTTAATAGATTTGTATTGGGACAAGATGAAAGAATTGTGTACCCAGGATTTTTGCAGTCCACTGTAAAAATCCTGGGTTCCACACAATTCCTTCATGTTGTCCCAACAAAGATTAAGTTAATTCAAGTTGATTGAACATAAAATAATAACCTAAGTTAACTTATTTGTTTTACTAATTTAAGTTGATTGAACATAAAACAATTAAGTTATACCACCCCCAACAAATTTCAAGAGTTGTGTTGATTCAGCTCATTTCTTTCACCTTTTAAACACAAAAGATGATATTTTGAAGAATGTTGGAAATGGTAGCCATTGACTTACATGGTATTTTATTTCCTGTGTGTCAATCATCTTTTGTGTTTAAGAGAAGGAAAGTAAATGATGCTAGTATTTTCATTTTTGAGTGAACTTCCCCTTTAAAGAAACCTTCACAAGCTGTATGTCATGTACCTACCCTGTGTTCCCACCAGCAACAGCAGCAAACTCTTCAGACACACTGACTGATGCATCTCCTAAAACGTAAACAACATTCATTTGTATTATTACAGCGCCTTATTTTAGCTTTCCAAGCGACTGTTATAAATGCAAATGAAATTACCAGTGCTATCTTATTTAATGACGCACACAAACCTTTTTTTATTTACTCCTGCACAGTTTTGCAGCAGCTGTGCAAGGTGTTGCACAGAAAATTTTTCACACTTTATCAGAAGATGTTTTTAGCAGATGTATGTGGTACGCTGTGGGTGACACATCTCAGACTGAGGAGTGACTACCATAGACGGTCAAATGATCTGCGTACATGACATTCATTGGTTCGTCATGATTTCCTCGTATCGCCCTGTGAAACACGCTTGCTTTCCCACACAGTGAGTATAAGTAACGCCCATTTACAAAATATTAAATGCTTACAGGAATGTAAATAAATGCAGGTGTGAAGTTGTTTCTATTGTGAAGCTAAATCGCCTTTGAATTTAAATTTTTTGGATTTACATACAATGGATATATGGTTTTAATATTGTCAAGCTCATAAATATGTTTTGTGTTCTATAACTTCTCCAATAGAAGATTAGGGGAAGAATATCTCATTTTGTGATGCAAAGCTTGTAAAGTCTGTCTAATATCTTATTTTGTTGGTAAGACTTCTTGACAGAATATTGATGATCACATTTAAAGGTGCTACAGAAAGTATATCTGAATATACCTAGGCATATTTGAATGATAAAAGTCCAGTACATTGAAATGACATACAGCAAGCCTCAAACTGCATTTCTTTTCATTTATATGAATTTGAGCAAACAAAATCAGACAAATATGTGAATCAGAACATAACACTGACTGTTGTGTAAAACACTGCCCTCAGCAGCATTTGATTGGCCACAAGTTTTCCTGGTGAGATAACAACAGTGATAAAAATATGTTCTAGGTTTAACACAGCTTATTATATTTACAAATGTGTGACTTTTATTTTGAAAAAAGGACAGGCAGGACAAGCTTTGGGTACGGGTTATAAATTTATCCAGTGCCCTTCTCGAGGGGCAAAGGCTCTGTTTTACTGTATGTTTTGTGAACATTTAACATGTATTTTGTGAAATGTGCCATGTACATTGACACATGTAAACTGCTGAGTAACTTTTTAATGCATGTGAGTTTTCTGGGGTGAAAGAACGGCAATATACTAATTTCAGCCATTGCTCTGTTGAGGTGATAATAGCTTGATGATTTATTTACTTGGAGGTTGATAGTAATTCCTGCTCATGTTTGCATATGTGTATATTAAACCCACAAAATACAACTCTAAATACAATTCTGTCTGTCCCTTCAGATGCATCAGAACGCAGCAGCACGAGTGGTGTTTAATACTCATCCGTTTGCACTGGCTGCCAGTTGCTGCTCGCATCAAATTCAAAGCTCTGATGTTTGCTTACAAAGCGATTTCTGGCTTTGCTCCTTCTTATCTGCTGTCACTTCTGCAGATTTATGTGCCCTCGAGAAACTTGCGTTCTGTGAATGAACATTGCCTCGTGGTTTCATCCCAAAGAGGCAAGAAATCACTTTCCAGAACTCTCACACTCAATCTGCCCAATTGGTGGAATGAACTCCCTAACTGCATCAGAACGGCAGAGTCACTCGCTGTCTTCAAAAAACGACTAAACTCAGCTATTTAGTCTCCACTTTCCTTACTAATCTGCAATTTACTCTCTTGCTCCTCCACTAACTACCACAAAAAAAAAAAACCTAATGTTTTGCTTCTTACACTTTCTTTACACACCTAAAACTTGCCTACAGCACTTAATCATTGTTGCTCTTATAGTTGTGTAAATTGCTTTCTTTTCCTCATTTGTAAGTCGCTTTGGATAAAAGCGTCTGCTAAATGACTACATGTAAATGTAAATGTTTTGTCAGGTAAAATGATAATTTAGCTTATGTAAAAACTAGGTTACTTACACGTGGGCTGTCAGCATTAGACTTTGGCCCAGTTTACACTAGTGCGTTTTAGTTTTAAAACGGCGTTTTAAAATGAAAATGATCCGCGTCCACACTAGCGTTATACCCAGCATTGCTGAACAGCTCTTCGTCCACACCAAAACGCTGAAAACGCACATTACGTGACCACACATGCACACTCTCGGGCAAGCGCTGCAGCCTATCCACCCAGATGAGAGATGTGCTAATCGGTCTGCTCATCAAGCATCTCCCGTTGGATCTAATCTCACTATATTTGTTAAACGTGATATTTCATTCATCTTGTTGTCTATGTCGAACGACATATTTCCTGACTTTGGTCATTGGAATCTATTACTTGTTCTCAGGTAACGTGTTTTGGCTAAGCGTAAAGATAAGTTAATGATTAATGTAACCATGTAGCCTACATTCTGTATAATGACTGATCGCTTGCCTTTATTTCCTATAATGTTAAAAATTATTGTATGTTATACTTTTATAATGGCCATTATCGTTTATTTAAACTGATAATCAGCAAAAGAGAGGGTATGTTTCATATTTTCACTGAAATTGAAAGGAGGCAGTTGTTATCGGCTCCATTTTTTCATACATATCCACACAGTGAAGATCACGCTCATATATGCTGCACAATGCCTCAACATTTCTGCTGCCTATTAAGTTGCTAATATTAAAATGAAAATGGGCAGTTCCTTAAATCATGTTTTCATTTTATTGTTGAAAAAGTAAAACAACGTGGTCAGGATGATGTGAGCAAGGTTATAAAGTACACTGTTCCCTTTGAAGATTTACTCCTGTCTTCGGTAGTCTGTTTTCCATATTAAACTCAGAAGGGGGGGACTGCAGCCTCGATCAAACTTGCGAAGTCTTACAAGGAGAGGATGCAGGACTGAACTGTGTGTAACGTTAGGCTACTCAATATTAAGGAAAAGCCCCAATCAAATAGGTGAATGTCGGCAGCCCCGCCTCCGTTTTCAGATGTCTCCGTTTTCCCCCATCCACACTGAGACGGAGCAGCAGCGTTTTAGAATTAAAACAGGCTCTCCAGCGATTTCAAAACTCTCAATTTTTGGCGCTTGAAAACTCCGGCTTAGTGTGAATGGTTGGCGTAACCGTAGCAAAACTTATGCGTTTTCAAACTAAATCGCATTCAGTGTAAACGGGGCCTTTCTCATTTACTGTAAATAGAGTGACGTCAAGGGTTTGATAAACTGAATTGTGGGTGTCAGCCAATCAGATCGTTTTATTTAAATACTAGTGCAGAGGCTAGCCAATCACATCCATGCAACATCAGACAGTAGTGGTATGTTAAAATGGAGGAAAATCATATCATTACAGATCGTAATCTCACAGTGCTTTATAATTTATCTTTATGTACATCTTTATGCACTGATACTACTACTGTACTTCTGTGCGTTTGTGTGTGTGTGTGTGTGTGTGTGTGTGTTTGTGTGTGTGTTGCGGTTCTAGTTAGATGTGATTAGTAGTTGTTACTATGATGATTGCTTCAGTGTGACAATTGAGACCTGTCTTCAGCCAAGCATTAATCATAACTATATATGTGAATGGGACATTATATACTGTATAACTCTAGAAATTTTGGAGCACAACATGCTGCCTTTTTTCAAGGGACGCCCATGTATATTTCAACAAGACAATGCAAAACCACATTCTGGACAAATTAAAAAGTCCTGGCTGCGGATGAAGAGGATACAGGTACTTGACTGGCCTGCCTGCAGTCCTGACCTGTCTTCAATAGAGAATGTGTGGCGCTTTTTGAAGCACAAACCACATGCTGGACAAATTACAAAGTCTTGGCTGTGAAGGAAGAGAATAGAGGTACTTGACTGGCCTGCCGGCAGTCCCGACCTGTCTCCAATAGAGAATGTGCGGTGCATTTTGAAGCGCAAACCACATTCTGGACAAATTACAAAGTCCTGACTGCGGAGGAAGACATAAGTAGGATACATGTACTTGACTGATTAGCCATGAGTAGGCCCACACGAAATCTGTGCACGCAGAATTTTGCAGATTTTTTTTCCATCATTGATTGTTTTTGTTTTTTTTGGGTAAATTTATATTTATTCAGTTTTTTAATTCATTTCAGTATAATTATTGACTAATATGAAAATGTTAATATAATTTATTCACAATACAGTTTGTAAAGTAATATTTTCTCTCTTTTAGTAGATATATTAGATAGAAGACTTGCTTTGTTTACCAAATAAAGTGGATCATTTATTAAGGTTTCAGTTATGATACTTCCAAAATAATTGTGCATAAATCCACCGATTTTTAACAAAATTCTGCGCAGAAATAGCAAAAATGTCCTCAGATTCCATTTAGCCCTAACCATAAGTTTTCCTACTGAAGTACTTGACTGGCCTGCCTGCAGTCCCGCCCTGTCTCCAATTTAGATTGTATGCCGCATTTTGAAGCACAAATGAAGACCCCATACTGTTGCCCACTTTAGGGCTTGTTTGCAGGAAAAATGGGACAAAATTACACCTGTCCCTTAAAGTCTTTTAAGTGTTGTGAAAAAAATGCCGACATTACAAAGTGGTAAATGCTTCACTGTATTTTTTTAAATGTGTTGCAAGAACCAAAATTGCAATGTTTGTTGCATTGTCTGCAATAAAATCTAAAGTAAATTTAGAAATGACTACTTTTTTTTTTTTTTTTTTTTGGCATTTTCCACACTATCCTAACTTTTTCTAACTTGGGGTTGCACATTACACAGTTTGTGTTCATGACTGATATAAGCAACATAAAGGCAGAGCTCATTGATTTATACAATGCATCCAAATAAGGTAAAAACTGACCATTTTATCCTATGGTCAATTCAGGACCTGTAAAGCCATTCGTAATAAGACTTTTTGGCACTTATCTATGCCTATGTAATTTAAACATTGTATCGGTGCATTCGATAGCAACTTTAAATGGGTTTGTCATAATTTATTTATACTCAAATTCTTTCAAACTCAAGTGGATGTATTTTGTTAAATAGAAAAGAAACTAATGTGAAACATCTGGAACAAGTATCTTGTCACATTTCCAACAGTTCTTCATACTACTGGTATGTAGAGACCAGCAAATATTTGGTTCTGTTTTTCATCTCCATTATGTTCAGAAGAAGAAATAAATTGTGCTCTTAACGTTGAAGGTGAATATATGATGCATTTTCCATTCTGATATGAACTGTGACTTTAATAAATTGTCTAAAGTTATAGTTTAGTTATGTTTGGTCTTCAATGTCTACCAGAGTCGACTCGTGTAAGCAAGTGCAGTTAGTTACAGACTGTTGAAATTAATAAATATCTCCTTACTGTATAACATTGGTGGTCAAAACCACAGCATCACATTCTTTGCTAGAAAACAAGCATAGATCCAACATTAAAAAAGCCTTACTTACAGTTGTTGAAATGCAACGCAGTTAGAGAGAAACAGCTGTCATGGGCGGCTGTGAGATGTTTTGAGTTTCCTCAAACCAAACACATTTACCTCAAAAACGAAAGAAAGTGAGCAAACGTTTGCATGACAGGAAAACACAGAGGAAGTACTGTGATGCAAGTCCTGCGGAAAAGATGGGCGGTGGATTAACGACATAGCTATACTGTATAAACGCATGATCTACTTACAATACATTGCCTTTTTTTTTTTTGGTTTGGAAAAGAAACCAAAGAAATGTAATGTTTAGAAATGTAATGTGCTAGTGGGACATTACATCACTTTTATACCAATATTTCGTGATAACCTTGTGTTGCCCTGCAAAGATTTTCATTGTGTAACGCAAAACGCATTGTACAATTATAACGCAGGCACAAGCAAAGAAAAAAAAATAAATAAACCAAAAAAAATCTGACATAAGGCGGGAAAAATGTCCTTTATTATTTAAACATCATATTTCGTGATCACAAATGAATTTATTTCTCAAGTGAATTTATTTCTTGCTTCTGTGAGCAAAGCAGGAAGCACAATAAATGAGTCATTTCATCATGAATATTTTTTGTATTTCCGTTATAGATATTTAAAACATTACTCTCCAGTACAATAGGGCGCACTATAATATATAATTATACATTTTAATTTATTGTTTATTTATTTTTTATGCTGACATAAAGCAGACAAAAGTTTCTTGCTATTGCGCCGTCTTTTAAAAAAATTACTTCTGCTTTACCTCTCCTCTAGCTTACTAGGAAACAGCATTGTAGTAGGCTATTTGTGTTCCTCCTTTTTGAACTGCTTTGAATAAAAACTTTAGCCAATTCATTAATCTAATCGCCTACAGTCATACAATGTTTTTTTTTTCGGATGCAGCCTATTAAGAAGTATGCTATTTTTTATATTTATATTTGCATATTTATCTGATGTTTGTGCCGTATATGGATGTTGTGTAATGTGCACCAGACGTTTTCTTTTCTATGTTTCCTTCCCTTTGTTGGTTTTCTTTGTTGGTGTATTGAAATCCAGACCGATATCTCAAATGCGCCTTATTTATTAATAATTCAACATGCTGCGTCGGTTATTCCTGTGGTTACATGTAAATCATTGTTCAAATGTTGTAATTCACGAAATTTCTACTTAAAACATTTGTATGCACTAATTTTCTTATTCATTTCCCAGAGATGGGTTGCGACTGGAAGGGCATCCGTTGCGTAAAAACTTGCTGGATAAGTTGGCGGTTCATTCCACTGTGGCGACCCCAGATTAATAAAGCGACTAAGCTGACAAGAAAATGAATCAATGAATTTTCTTATTCATCGCAATCCAGCCTCAATTGCTTATTTCTCCACAATGTCTGTTTAATTAGTTAGGTCACATCGTTATCCATACTAACCACAGTACAGTTTATGAATGCACAAGCTCGTCTAAGAGGTGTGTGTGTGTGTGTGTTTATTTTGAACTGGTTTATGTTTTAATATAACAAAGGTGGGCGGGGCAGTGGCGCAGTAGGTAGTGCTGTCGCCTCACAGCAAGAAGGTCGCTGGTTCGAACCTCGGTTGAGTTGGCGTTTCTGTGTGAGTTTGTATGTTCTTCCTCCGGGTGCTCCGGTTTCCCCCACAGTCCAAAGACATGCGGTACAGGTGAATTGGGTAGGCTAAATTGTCCATAGTGTATGAGTGTGTGTGTGAATGAGTGTGTGGATGTTTCCCAGAGATGGGTTGCGACTGGAAGGGCATCCGCTGCGTAAAAACTTGCTGGATAAGTTGGCGGTTCTTTCCGCTGTGGCGACCCCGGATTAATAAAGGGACTAAGCCGACAAGAAAATTAATGAATATAACGATGGTGTTGCGGATAGACCTAGAAAAAACATTATTACCGCCAGCAGGTGGCAGCAAGCCCATTTCAGTGAATTAGCGACTCGTTGACTCACCCTGCTCCTTTTCCCCTCCTTTTTTCTTGGTTTTTCATGGCACCTGTTTTACATAGTTTATCTAAATGTGTTACTTTGGATTTGTATCTAATTCACTTGAGCCCTAAAAAAAGGTTGACTACTTAATTGTCTAAAAGACATCTAATAGACATCAAAACAGAAAACGAGGCTAAATTTGGTCTGTCAGTGAAAATAAAATGTAACAGTAGTCCAAAGATAGACATTTTATCAAATAAACAAAAAATAATACACATGTGAACTCAGTCTAATCGGTCTATTTGATGACTAGTCTGTTTTGTACTTAAAATGTTTTAGGGCTAATTTTCTTATTCATATCATCCCAACAATGGCATATTTCTCCATAATGTCCTGTTATATCTAATTTAGTTAGCTTAATTGCATTATTGTTATCCTTACTAACCACAATAATACAGTTTATTAATACACAAGCTCGTTTAGGTGGTGTGTGTAGATCTTTATTTTGAACTGGTTTTATTAATACAACACTGGTACCTATAGGCCTGTTGTGGATAGACCTGAAAATTACATTGTCCACCAGAAGCCCATTTTACTGCTAACCGTTAACTCAACCCACTCCTTTTTTCCACTCCTTTTTTCATTCCTGGTTTTAACATAGTGTCTTGTTACTTCGCATTTGTACTAATTCGCTTGAGCCTGAAAAAATTAAGAAAAATAATAAAGTTGCCCACAAAAAAAAAAGCATCCGCGCTAGCAGTTTCTTGTGTGTCTGGACGTCTATTAGACATATTTTAAACACAGACATCTTGGCTAAAACGAGGAACAATCTGAGTTCTAGATGTCAACAGTAGTACAAAGATAGACAGGTTATTAAATAGACAGGAAGAAATGATTATGGCTATGTCAAACCTGTTTGATCGTTCTATTTGATAACTAGTCTATATTTGCACAGTTTTTTTTGAGACCGCAGACCCTGTAGTTTGTCTACTGCAGACACACACATTGCGATGTTGATGCTGAAATGATATATTGTGCTGCCTTGCTGAATCGAATTCATTCATTCATTCATTTTGTTGTCGGCTTAGTCCCTTTATTAATTCGGGGTCGCCACAGCGGAATGAACCGCCAACTTATCCAGCAAATTTTTACGCAGCGGATGCCCTTCCAGCTACAACCCATCTCTGGGAAACATCCACACTCTCATTCACACACACACACACTCATACACTACGGACAATTTAGCCTGCACCACATGTCTTTGGACTGTGGGGGAAACCGGAGCACCCGGAGGAAACCCACACGAAGGCAGGGAGAACATGCAAACTCCACACAGAAATTCCAACTGAGCCGAGGTTCAAACCAGCGACCCAGCGACCATGCTGTGAGTTCACAGCACTACCTACTGTGCCACTGCCTCGCCTGAATTGAATTGCAATACTTAAAATACATTTTAATTAACTAACTTGATTCCGTGTTAACTTTAAGGGCTGCTCAAATTAGAGCCCTAATTCACAATGCCATTCAGTGATTTCATGAATCTATTTGTCAGGATTGATTTTTTAGATGATGACTGGAGGAAAAAAAATCTATGTTTTAATGTTTTCCTTCGCCTTAGTCCCTTTATTCATCAGGAGTCGTCACAGCGGAATGAACCGCCAACTTATCCAGCATGTTTTACACAGCGGATGCCCTGCAACCTAGTACTGGGAAACTACCCATACACACACACTACGGCCAGTTTATTCAATTCACCTACCATATGTCTTTGGACTGTGTGAGAATCCGGAGAACCTGGAGGAAACCCACACCAACATGGGGAGAACATGCAAACTCCACAAAGAAATGCAAACTGACCCAGCTGAGACTCAGCGACATTCTTGCTGTAGGGCAGAATGTCCAAACTCGGTCCTGGAAGGCCGGTGTCCTGCATATTTCAGTTCCAACACCGATTCAACACACCTGAACCAACTAATCGAGCTCTTTCAAAGTATGCTAGAAACTTCCAGGAAGGTGTTGAGGGAGGTTGGAGTTAAGCTATATGTAGGACACAGGCCCTCCAGGACCGAGTTTAGACACCCCTGCTGTAAGGCGACAGTGCTAACCACTGAGCCACCGTGTGGCCCATCTATCTAATTAAATCTAGTTTATCTTTTGTTAGGAAGTTGTGTATATTTACATTTATGCCACTTCATTTCTATAAATAGACTTAGTATAGGAATGACTTCTTATATGTTTTCCCCAACTGCTTATTAAATTCTGAACTTGATTGGAATTTATTTGACAAACTGTATGAAATAACATGTCTCATACTTTCAAGAAAAACTACAGAGGATAAAAACCACCATAAAACCATTGGCCTATTTTCATTAGGGTCCTTGATGTTAATATAAAGGTTGTAGACCACTTATAGAAGACTTAAAAGTTTGATGTTCATTTTAAGATTTCTCAGCAGGTAAATATGAGAAACACCTGAAGCCAAAAAATTTTTTATTAAGTATCCTCATTTTAGAGCCATATTATTAGGGTTGGACCATATAGGCCCTGTTTACAGCTGATATTAAGAAGGATTTTGATGAATATGATGATAAGCGTATTAAAGATAAATGTATATATTTACAATTCGTCCATTAATACAAACTAGAAAATGATCAAAGAAAGTCTGACCTTCATGTTATGATTTCTCAGCGGGCAGTTGTGAGAAACACCTAAACCTGATAAAATGTTGACTTCCTGTGACGACTCACACCTCAGAACAGATCAATAGATAAATGTGACACAGAATGGGGCATTGTTTGTTTAGCTTTAATTAAAGTTACAGTTTACAGTGCAACTCTTCATCTGTTTTCTTTTGCGGTGGTTAGAAAACGATGATTATAAGTTTCTGAGCAAGGAAGTTTAACCACAAAGAGGGAAGTAGCTGCTGTTCTTAAATCTATTTTAAAAAGTGTGTGTGTGTGTGTGTGTGTGGGGGGGGGGTGCTTTCGACATGTCATGTCTTGTAACATATTCTGTGAAATTACTCACTAAATGTACCAGTGATGTTCTTGCTTTGAGGAAACAGTGCTAACCACTGGGCCACCGTGCCACCCATTTAGGAAAAGGGGAGGAGTAGGGGTGGAAGGAGAGATTCTTCAAAATGAAGATGGCTGTTATGAAACTTGGGGTATTTGTAGTGGCTTAGGAATCGTCTGATTGGGGAGTCATAAATTGAA